CGAGCCACCTGGATGAAGTCGTCCTGCCGGAAGCCCCGGGAGGTCAGCGCTGGTGTCCCGAACCGCAGGCCGCTGGGGCGCAGGGCGCTGACGTCGCCTGCAGCAGAACGAGAGCCAGGTACCGAAACTGTGGTGCAGGTTTCGGTACCGAAACCGAACCAGCCTGGTTCCTAGCACCTGGGATGCTCTACGTGGACCCATGGCCAGCTGGGAGCCCTGGGGGAGCACGAGGAACGGGACCTCTAGGAGCTGGGGGCAGGACATGGCGGAGCTTGTGGGGTCTCTCACCAGGACAAGTGTTCTTGTTGCAGGCGATGGAGCAGATCTCCAGCACCCGCTCAGCCCGGCCACCGTCTGTGCCTCTGCTACGCAGGTCCAGGAGAATCAGGTGGTTGTCGGAGCCCCCTGCAAAGAGATGAATTCTGTCTGGGGGAGGAGAGATCGTGGGGCAAACACTGCTCCTGCTCAAGACTCCAGCAAGAAAGGCTCACGACTGCACCAGAGCCTGCCCCTGGGTTTGAGGGCAGAAGGGCTCCTGCCCCATGGGAAGGGGAACTTCTTAGCATGACTGTTAAGAAGCGGTTTTGTAGATGTCCTCAGGAATGGACCCAGTAGAACCCTTCCCACGGCCTGGCTCAGACCCAGCACCACGTGCAAGAGGTGGTGCTGAGCTGCGGAGACCTGTCCTTACCTGTGACGATGTCATAGCCCAGCTCTATCAGAGCTGCCGAGAAGGTCTTGCAGTTCGCGACCACCTGCTGCTGGTAGGCCTTGAACTCGGGTGTCATGGCCTGCCGCAGCGCCACAGCGATCCCTGGGGAAGGAGGCAAACCAGTGAGAGCTTTGGGGGCTTCCGTCGGGGAGCTAGCGGAGATGCGTGGCACCACCGATGAAAGCCGTCCCCAAAGCTGAGCAAACCGATGGACGAGGCTGGTGAGCGTGAGGCACTGGGTGAGCAGTGTGGCACTGCGCTGGCTCGATGAAGGCCCTGAGCGGTGCCTTGGCACCGACGCGGTGTTTCCTGCTAACACCTGTGCTGGCAACATCCCCTCCCAAAGGGATGGATAAAGCCCCATCTCTCCTTGGGCAGTGCTACACCAAACTGGCTGTGATTTGCCTCAATATCTGCATTCCCTGGCTGCGAGCCCCCTTGGGCCAGTTGTAGCCCCCCACACCGTTGCAGGGGTCGGAGCTGAGCCGCGAGATCTCTGCCAGCTCCCTGCCCTGCCAGCCCGGAGCCGGCAGTCAGCCCAGCCAGAGGCGTACCTGCGATGGCGTGGTTGTGCGGCCCTCCCTGCAGCCCAGGGAAGACTGCCTGGTTGATGAGGCTCTCCAGGTTGTAGAGCGTTTCCTTGCCCGTCTTGGGGTCCACGCTGCGGGTGCCTGCGGGAGGGGAGGGCAGTGTCACTCACAGGGCAGCACAGCCTGCTTTCTCCCGCGACCCTGCAACTACACCAGCAACTGTGCACCTCCAGGCCCCACAGAGCGGGGACTGTGGTTGTTCTGCCTCAAATCTGGATTAGGGCTGGCCCCTCAGCCTGTGAAGCTCCCCCCAGGAGACCCCTCTGCCCTTCCTCTTCCCAGCTAGAGCAGAGGGGCAGCCCTGGGCCCTGTGACTTGCAGCTCCCTTGGCCCTGGGCAGCGTTTCTCCCGGCTCCCCAGCTGGGGCAGGTACCTTTGCGGTAGAAGATCATGCCAGCTCTGCAGCCCCGCAAGGTCTTGTGGGTGGTGGTGGAGACGATGTCGCAGTGGTCAAAGGGGGAGGGCACAATGCCGGCAGCCACCAGCCCGCTGATGTGGGCCATGTCAGCCATGAGATAGGCTCCGTTGGCGTCTGCGATCTTCCGCATGCGGGCGTAGTCCAGGTTGCGCGAGTAGCAGCTGACGCCTGGGGGAGACAGCATGTGGCTCTGGGAGCTGGGCTAGGTGTGAGGCTGCAGAGAGGGGACAGGAGCAGCCGCTCACGGGCCCTGGGACAGCCTGGGATCAGCCCTGCGATAGTGATGAACCCAGCTCAGGCCAGCACAGATGTATTCAAGGTCTCCTCCTGGCATCACAGCACCCACATGTGCCTGCTGGCTTACCAAGGTGCTAATGGCTTCAGGGAGCCACCCCAGTCCTGGTGCATTACCAGGGAGGTTAATAAGGGTTTGACCCTCACCTGCTATGATCAGCTTGGGGTGGAACAGGCGGGCGTTCTCTTCTAGTCGATCATAATCGATGTAACCAGTCTTGGGGTTGACCTAGGAGACAAAAAGGACAGTTCAGCCACCTTGGCATGGGTAAGGATCAGTCCCAGCGCCATCCCGCAGGAGGGGATACGGGGAGAAGGGTGATTTGACAGCACAAGTAGTGAGAGGGGAAGGGGCATCCCACCCCTTCTAAGTCATCCTCCTTCTAACCTCCCAGGTCACCCACGCCCTGGGGACAGGACACAGATGTAATCGTCCTGGTTGGACCCCATTACTCTTGCATTTAAGAGGCTGTAACGCTTATGACTGCCATGTCCCTGCTCCAGCTGGAGTGGTTCTCCATACCTTGTAGGGCATGGACTCAAAGAAGATGGAGGTAGCAGAGATCTTCTTCTTGTCCGTCATGAAGCCGTGGGTGAGGTGGCCGCCGTCAGGCAGGTCCAGCCCCATGATCCTGCCATGGGGCTCCACCAGGGCCGTGTACACCGCAAAGTTAGCGGGCGACCCTGCAGCGAGAGCACAGCAGGCCTGTTACAAGTGCCAGGGCACGTGGGGGCTGACGGAGCGCAGCCTGGCTCTGCCAAGCACGGTTACCTGAGTACGGCTGGACATTGACTCCCCACTTCTGGGGGTCCAGCTGGTACGCCTCCAGGGCTCTCTTCTGACACAGCCTTTCCAGCTCGTCTACAAACTCTGTCCCGCCGTAGTACCTGTTGGCAAAGGACAAGGTGGGATTTATGCCAGGGTTGGTGTTGTTTGCTTAGAGCAAACTGCAGGGGATTAAAAGCAAACTGATTATTCAGAAAGGTCCACGTGACCAAGGCCATGCTGGCTGGGGAGAACCAAGGCAACGCCATGTTTGCGGCAGCTACCAGGGCAGCAGCTGCAGCAGATGTGACCCTGCAGAGACGGTCCCACGCGCAGCCACGGGCAGAAGCTGAGGGGTTCAGATCCTGCCCTGGAGGAGCTCGGCTGGCTGGGCCAGTGCCATGATACCGCTTCCTTTCCGGGGGTGAGATTTCAAGAGGGAAGTGGCACGGGGTGGGTTGTTTCTCTTTTCCCTGTAAGGGTTTGGGTCAGTTGGACTCTGCCCTGCCCTGTACCTCTGTCCTGGGTAACCCTCAGAGTATTTGTTGTTCATGCAGGATCCCAGGGCCTCCAGGACTGCTCGACTTGCAAAATTTTCAGAGGCGATTAACTCCAGCCCCAGCTTCTGGCGCTGCTTCTCCTTCATGATGATGCTGTATACCTTTGGGAGACAGGAGAAACTGCTTCACTGTACTGGCTCTGCATGAGACATGGATGCTGCCAGGTAGGGATGCACCCTCAGAGGGGAAAGCGTGATGGAGAGCGGCTTGGAAAGGTACTGGAGAAGAAAAATGAGACCCCTTCTTGGTACAACCGATCCTGAACAGGTTCTGTCATGCGCTCTGTCATAGGCCTCGTTTTGGGTCTCTACCTGCCAGGAAGCTGCCAGCTAATTTGGTTGTCATTTGGGCTAGAGTCTAGGGTGGCTACAAAATGCACTAGGCTTTGGCCATGCTGGTCTGGTTGGCCATCTGTGCTTGTGCAGACATGTGAGCTTCAAGCAGAGGGGTATAAGCAATAGATGTGAAGTGAAGACCGTGTTAGCTCGATTACTGTGCAGCAACGCACTTGGAGGATGCTCTTCCTCTCCACCTCTCGCTGCAGGCAACCTGGCACAGAGACCTGGTGAGACCCAGCTCAGCCTTGGACCGTCTCGCCCCTGCGTCACCAGCTTGGGGAGGTCAGCGTCCCCGTGGCTGCCCAGGCCCAGAGGGTGAGTGAAGCAGGTTGCTTGCACTGACCGTACAGGCTGCTCCGCTGCCGAGGCCCGTGCCAGGAAAGGGCTCTCACCTCCGGGTCGTTGCTGTCGAGCGGCTCCACTACCATCCTGTTATGGGAGGCCCAGAGCTCCGTGCTGGGGGGGCCCCCGCTGCCCTGCGCCGAGTTCGCCATCTGCCTGCTGGGTCCAACGTAGCCTGGAGCCAGAAAGGGAGAGTTTGTGGAGCTGGCTGGGATGGCGGTGGGGCCGGGTGCCTCTGGGCCGTGTCCCCCACGTGCTACCTGCTCCCATCCCACGTCTTCCCCCGAAACGCAATGGGGGCTGGCCAGTAGGGTGAGGAAAACCCCGACACCTCTTGGGGAAGCCCCACTGATTTAAGATGGTTCTCCAGTTACGGTGCTTTGGTTATTTCCGACGTTGCCCCATCACCGCTCTGCTCGGGGATTGCGCGGGCAGGTTCACAGGCTTCCCCCAGCCCGAATCTGGGGAGAAGCCTGGCCCGACGCTGCCCTGTTGTGGCAGGCGGCCTCCCCCCCCCCCCCCGGGCCACACC